GTCCCCAGAAGGGTGAAACATGCGGCAGATCCTTCCGGTTGAGGAGCCCTAGTCGGGTCGCCATGACAGAAGCATGGCCCCTTGATATTTTAGAAAAGTGAAAAAGGGAAGTAGATACGTACAAGTATAGAAATTGTGTAGAGTATTTTTCATGAATGGGGAAGTAGATACGTACAAGTGTAGCTTAATTTATTTATATATATACGTACTAATGTCCAAACCCATATTTCTTTTTATTGAAAGGTTTTATTTGTTTTATTTATATTTATAACTAATTATTTATGTTTTTGAATGCTACTGACTCTATTTATTTACTCATACAATTCTTGAGTTCTAACACTATCACTAAAATTAAAATTTCAAGAATTAATAGCTACGCTGGTATAGATATATAAAATAACACTAATGATTTAAAATTTATTAAATTTATCAAAAGTTTTCTGTACCCAAAATAGTATTTAAAGCTAATAAGAAGATATTAGGAAAAATTGTCAAATAAACAATCAAACTATATGTGAAAAGGTAATTAGGCAAAGTTTTAATTAGATATCCTAACTCCTTAATTTGATGCAATTGAGTTGATTGACCAATTATCTGCAAGAAACGATTAAAAAAAAGTGTTTTACATATAAGCCATCTATGCTTCTGTCATCTTGATAGGTAAGCCAGTCATGACTTATTTGTCCAACATGACAAAAATGCTTATGCCCAACGAGCTTTTTTGTCTGAATGACAGAGAAAACAAAATAGTACGTTTTCTTTTTAAAAAATTTTAATTTATTTTTTGAAAAATTAGCACGTGAATGCATTTTATCTGTTGTTACTCTAAGTTTATCGATTAATTGAGTTAATTACATCAACTTAACAAGTTATCAATTAAACTATATAAATTTAACAAGTTCTAGTGTTCAATTGAAACTTTTTATAAATTAAAGGTTTAATTACTTTTTCAATTATAATTTGAAGTTCTATTTAACTCCGATCCTTTATCAAAATATTATTATTGAACATCAAGTTTAAATTTTACAAATGAACTCAAATATCACTTCACTACAAAAATTAAAAAAAAATTATGAATTTTATTAATTTTCTCGAGGTACATTCCATTCTTCTTCCCCTTTTCCACAACAAATAAGAAATGTCAATAAGAATTTTTTCAATCAATGCCAAATTATTTGATGAGTTTATGTTTATTGTTTTTTTTTTTTTTTTTTTAAAATAGTTTATGTTTATTGTAATTTCTGCCAAGATGCAAAAATTCAAAACCCACCAGACGACGTGGGTTTTTATTCTTTGGCATAACCATTTTTTTTTCTTCACCTTCCTTATTTTCCTTCTTCTTAAGAAAACTAGGGATTTCATTATTTTTTATCCTTTAATCTCTTTTCCTTCTCTTTTTTTTTTTTTTTTTTTTTTTTTTTAACTCTTATTCTTCTATTTGTTTCTTCACTATATGTAAAAGAAAGTATTTTTTTTTTCAAACTTACAATTTTTTTTTAGAGTTTTGCAAAAAATAATAATAATAATAATAATAATAATAATAATAATAATAAAAATTTAACTATCTAGAAAAGTTGTCAAAAAATTAAGTTTTCTAAAGATATGAGTTATTCGACCATCCTACTATATATCGATAATAAAAAATTCAATCACTTCTCAAATGTGGTAAGAAAAAACAATTCAAAATTTTGGTAATTTTTGTCTGCATACTTGTTGGGTATGTCGGAAAAAAAGTAGTTATAAATATAAAAATTTCATCTATGGTGTCGATGGACAATAATGTCTTGCTAAATCTAGTATACTTATGTATGTATAACTAGTTTTATTGTGTATTATTGACAACAATACTAACATTATTCATTACAACTAATTAAATATATTTTACATAGTTATTTTAGTTTTGAGGAAATCTTAAATTATCAACTAGTATATGACCGACCAAATTCAATAATCATTGCTAGAAAATCACATAATCCTATCTACTATATAAAAAAGGATTTATACCAAAACTATTATCGACTCGCATAAAGCTTATACTTTATTTACTTTAAACTAATAAATTATTTATTGAATATACTTGAATGCCTACAACTTCCTATAAAACTAGATTGCGACTATTATCTATACATGACCGATCATGAATATGAAAGGGAACTAACTGTTGTTATAAAAAAAAAATGAAAAAAAAAAAAAGAAAGAAAGGGAACTAACTTACAAGATTTATAATATTTTTCTTTTCGTTTTTATCTTCTATTTATCTAAACTTGTTGTTTATTGAACAAATCGTATTAGGTTTTAATGTTTTATAGAGTTAACTCCCATCTACTTAGCGTTCAAACAATTATTTTCAACACTTGTTCTTAATTCCCAAACACGATAATAAATTGATAAAACTACCCATGTGGACTTTGCACTTACATAAAAAGAGCCAAGCATAATATAATGGCATGCAATTTCATAATTGAACAACTCATTTTCTTTCAATAAATTAAGACTTCTTTATTTTCTAAAAATCACAATATCTCTAAATAATTTAATTTGTGATTAAATATTTTCTATATAAATAAATAAAAGTCTAAATTTTATCAATCAATTATGACTACTGACTAGATATGGGCAAATTATTATGTGAACTCCAGGTCCAAAATACACAATTTACATACTGAATTTTCACAATTTTGTAAAATGTAAATTGTAAACATTTAGTATGTAAATTGTTAACATCAAGTATGTAAATTGTTGCAAAAATCGCGCCTAGGCGCTAGGAGGCCGCCGCGAGGAAATGGCCTCGGCGGCCTCCTTCGCGGCCGGCCGCCTAGATTGCCTAACCGGCCGGTTTGGCGGTTGGGCGATTTTTTTTTTTTTTTTTTTTTTTTTTTTTTTTTTTTTTTTTTAATGTCGGAAAAGTTTCGGAAGACACAACTTTTGACTCGGTTGTTCGATTTGGACAATTTTTTTTTCTCAAATTGTCCGATTTGGACAATTAGTGGTTGGTCCACTAATTTCTCAAAAAAAAAAATGCTTCTTTAGCTCTTAATTTTAGTTTTTTATGTATTTAGATGGTTTAAACAATCTTTTGAACAATTTTACAACCACTTTTGTAAATAGTTTCTAAGAAATAACTATGGAAACCTTATGTTTTAGTACTAAATTTTGAAAATTTTTAATTAAAAAATTGTTTTTAATAAAAAAATTAAAAATAAAAATAAAAAATCGGCGCTTAAGCACTAGGCGCCAGCCTAACATTTTTTGCAAATTGCTATTGCTAGATATTCAATATAAGATAATAAAACCCCTCTTTCAATTATTTATTTATTTATTTATATAAATGCAGTCCATCAATTGTTCAAATATTGTAAATCTTATTCTTCACCATAACAGAAAGTATAAACTCCTTTATATATAAAAATTTTTAAGTTTCTTTTTTAAAATTCCATATATACCCACTTCGTTTCCTAGCATAACCAAACTTTATCAACTTTCATTTCCCTTCTAAACCAAATACATGGACACATTGAGAGGTATGGGAGCCAATGTTTGTGCGATTTTAAAGAAAATAAAAGTTGATAAAGCTTAGCTATGAAAGGAAAATGATAAAGTAACTATGTGATGGATATATTCGGAATGGACAAAATCGACCTGGGAAGACGAAACAATGAGGTTTGAAGCGGACCTAAGGCCTCAAGGTTGAGCCCTGTGCTCGACCCGGCTTCGGCCCATGCCTTGGCCAAACGTCTCGGCCAAACACCTCGGCCGGACCCGGTCAAACACCGTTGCAACCGTCCCCGCCATGAATTAGGGGACAGTTACGTTAGAAGTCTCCTTGTGTATAAAATGTCTTGTTATTGTCTCATTAAGACACATTCTAGATTCTTGTCCTAAATTACTCTTGTAATAGCATTACACCCCCATTATAATAGCTTGGCAACTGTCATTTAATACAATGGATTTAATACCAAAAATGGTCATCGACTATAGTGGTTTTTCTCAATTTAGTCCTAAGCGACTTTGGTGACATAATGTAGTCCCAGACTTTTGTGTTTTTGCTCAATTTAGTCATCTGTTTGTTATTCCGTCCATTTGGCGTTAAATAAAGGAACAATTTAGTAATTTCAATATTGACATATCTTTCTCCTAGACTTGTAAAATGCGATTTTTTTTTTATTTATGAATTACTCCTAGAATTAACTCTAGTACAATATTTGGTCTCCGTGACCCTACACCACTTACTTTGCCTATTTTCTTATCCATTTACACTATCCGTTAATTTATTGGATTTAATAATTCAGACCACTCAGGTTAATTAAATCCATCACTATGAATATTTGAGGTAGAACAGAACTTGTGAATGCTCCATTCAGATGAGAGATCAAAGTTACAAAACAATTAAAGGATCATATTTTTAAAAATTAAAAGATAAATCTTAGATGATATAATTAGCAACAATTGAATGATTTTTAGGGGCTGTTTGGTTCAAGTTATACAATATAACAAAGGAAACTTTAAGTTAATATCCAATTTAATCATCGAGTAATTTTTCTTGATTTAGTACTAAATGTTTTTTTTTTTACTTAATTAGGTGATTGACTTTGATGATTTTAGTGTTTACTCAATTGGATCATTTGTTAAGATAATTTCATAATTTTATCTTTATTAATACCTAATTTAATCATCGGTTATAGACTTACAGGAGGTGGAAGTAGTCAAATTCCAAAATTGTCAGAGAGAAACAGATGTAGGTAGAAGAAGGCGTGGCCGTGGCGAACGATATCAAGGGCAACCAAGTCTTTTCGGCGGATGAGTGCCTGCCGCTGAGGTTTTTATTTATTTATATAAATAAATAAATATATGGAGTGTTAATCGCCAGAAAATACTCATAGAGACTCCGGCGGTGTACGTATATGTGCAGTTGTGCACACCGCGCCTCCTCCTCCTCCTTACGTCATATATATATATATATATATATATATATATATATAGAGAGAGAGAGAGAGAGAGAGAGAGAGCTTACCAGTAACCCATCTCTCCTTCTCCGTCTTCCTTTCTTCCTTTCACCAAAAAAAAAAAACCTTCTGTTAACTCACTCACTCACTCTCCGCCGTAGATACATACATAGAGTGTTGTATGAACATAGGTTTTTACGCTACAATGGCAAGTGCGCCGGAGAGGCCGCAACCACTCCACAATTTCTTTTTATCGCAGTTGAGGTGGGGCCACAACTCCACCGCCAACCACCGCTTCCGCCGCCGCGACTCCAACCGCCACCGTTCTGTCTCCGACGGAGGTTCCGACTCCGACCTCCCTCCTCCGGCCGGATCACAGCCCCGCTTCTCGCCCGAAAAGGAACGCCCACCGACACCGCGCGAAGAGGAATCCCAGCGGGCGGAGCGAAACGGCGGCGTGGTGATCCCGGAGGAAGGAGAGACCAGGACGTGGAATCTGAGGCCGAGGAAGGCGAGCGTAACGAGGAGCGGTGAAATGGCGGAGGTTGAGAAGAGCCATAGCCATAGCCATATGCCCAAGTCCCAGCGGCTGAGAGGGATTGTTGAAGGAGTGGCGCAAGGGCAAGGGCAAGGGCAAGGGCATCAATGGGTGGAGAAGAAGCGGAAGCTATGGATCTCCCTGTCCAAGGAGGAGATTGAGGAAGACGTGTATTCCTTGACTGGGTCGAGACCTGCTCGCCGGCCCAAGAAACGGCCCAGAAACGTGCAGAAGCTAGTCAATGTAAAAGAATTCCCTTTTCTTCTCCATTTTTATTTATAATCCTTCATATCTCTGCTTATTGACTTATTCATCATTGCCCTGCAGAATGTTCTCCCTGGATTATATTTGGCAGGACTCTCAGTTGACTCCTATCGAGCTCACGAATCGCAGGTCAACTCTTTTCCCTCAATCTTCATATGCATCTTTGAGATTTCTGCATTTAAATGTTCCTAATTTTAAACATATGGAACTGAGAATTGATTGTTTATTGTAGACTATGTAGATTCCCCATGGAAAGTAATGTAGCTGAATTCTTGATTATCTTGCAAAGATGATATCCCTGCCTACTCGGTGACCACGTAGACTCTGCTAAATGGAATGCAGGCATTGCCTCCTTTTTTGTTGCTAAAATTTTGCTTGCAGATGTTTATATCCATCCTTAAGAAATTTATGAAGATAGGAGAGCTTTACAGTTTGCTCTAATGGTGCCTCATTTGGAGGTATAAACATATATACTTAGTTAGCCTCAAGGGAAAGGAATGTTACCTTATTATCTTAAGTGCATCAACAGTTGTTTCTCTTTAGTTCCTTTCTCATCTCGGAGTGTCACTACATTGGTAGTTTTTGTAGTTGGTGGATGCTTAAGATATGGAATATGGAATAGAATTCGGCTACTTCAATTGAAGCCATGGTTTTAATTTCATGAATTTGATCACTCTTAACAGTTAACGCCCCCCCACCCCCCTCGCCCTCAATGCAGGGCTGGGAGGGACTGTATTGAGTTCACCGGAGGTCCTGTCTTAGCAGGAGGTGTCGTGACCTAAAATTCTTTGTTCTTTGTTCTTCCCATATATACCAACTCCCTGGATATGATGCAACTCTGTGGTTCTGTGAATTGGTAAGGCAAATATAAGCAGGGAAATGCTTAAATGCTTTGGCTTAGAACAACCACACTTCTCTGGGATTGCCTCATAGTTGGGTTGTTTGTTTGTTATATTTATTCTGGAAACAGATGCTTATATAAAATCAAAATTTTGTTCATCAACTTGCTTAATGTATGTATTATTTATATGCAATGCTTGCATGGAAGCACATTGTTTTTCAGCAGTTCAGAAGTGACCTTTTTTTACTGTTGTGGCTAGAGGCTTGGCTGCTAGAGGGGGACAAGAATGGTTGTAGATAATTTTATATTAAAGATAGAGTAATACTATTTGTTCATGTGTGGTGTTGGGATTACATACATCATTTTCCTTGAAGAAATGTGGAGGATATATTACATAAAAAGTGTTATGTTGTGACAGTGGAAATGGTTTTTCAGACCTTGATGTATGCAGCGGTTTGGAGCAAACCGCTGTTTTACCAAACCTGTTTTTTGGCGTTTTGACCATAAAATTGGTGGATCCGTTTGGAGCAAACCGCTGTTTTACCAAACCTGTTTTTTGGCGTTTTGACCATAAAATTGGTGGATCCGCCATTTACCAAATATGACCCTAGTAAGTCGGACTAGCAAGCAGGTGCACAAGTGTCAAGAATTTGTGTGTTGATTTTGAACTTCTGGTACTTAGGGATCTTTCTCAGCTGTAGCATTTCCCATCAGCTCAGTACTACAAGTTTGGTAATGCTCACATCTCACTTATGTTTAGAATTTTTCTATGTCTGGAATGGAACTTGAAATTTTATGGTTTACCAAATTTAGTCGGAATTATCCCCACGTCAGACTTACTAATTCTATACGCTTCATGCACTAGTAGTCTTTAATACAATAATAATATTGGAATAACTAATAGCACACAATAAAATAATTTGAAAAAATGAGTTAACATAGTCTCTAATTCCTCCATTGTCTCCCTCATAAGATGAGCAATGATTCTCGTGGGTGAAAGGGGAGGGGAACCTCGCCAGACTAGTGTCACAACTTAGTTTAATCACATTAAATAAATAGTATAAAAAAATTTTAAAAATTTCAATTACTAACAAACCAACAATATGGAAAAGGATTTAACATAATTGGTAATATTATTGTTCAATTTATTTTTGGGTTATAAAACAATTAAAGGATCATATTTTTTAAAATTAAAAGATATATCCTAGATTAAAGAATTAGCAACAATTGAATGATTTGTAGGGGTGTTTGGATCAAGTTATACATGAATGTGACATTTAACCTTACATTCTCATTTTTAGTAAATGTTATCTTACTATTTTAAAAGAATACAACATTCCCCTAGAAATACAACGTATACCCTCTAGATTGTTAAAGGGAATGTGATTCCTTGACAATTCTTAGTTTATTTAATATTCTCATACTTTCATTTTAATTCTAATTATTATTATTATAAAATATATATTTTATGTTAGTTTATTATATACATATAATATTTTTTTTTTTTTTGAAAACCTACATAATATTTAATTATTTTCATAATTATATATTTTATTATATTTTTATTACGCCATGTTAACTTATAAAGTAATTTGTTTTTCAAGTTCAAGTTCTTACTTAACTTATACACACACATATACGCACATTCATAAAGCCACACACATATCCCTTCAAAAAAATAATAATAATAAATACACACACACAACACAGAAATTTTGTTTTCCCAGCTCCAAAATCTCTACTCCTACTTCATTCTTGAAGCTGTATTCTGCCCGTGCTCTTGTTCGCCGGGTTCGTTCGTTTGAGTGCTCAAACGTCGAACAGTTGTACGTTCTATCCTGAGAAGCCTAGGCCATAACACTCCTAGCACTCTAGGGAGGTGGCAAATAAGGTTTTAAGGAAAAATCCAAAACACACACAAACATATCCCTTCAAAAAAAAAGAGAACACACACACACACACACAAAGTCTCTAAAAAAAATTAAAATCTGTAACCTTATGAATTTCATATTATTTAGAATTAAGTAACAAGGTGATTTCTTATCACTCAATCATCCGGACATATACCTCCATCAAGGCCACCGCCACCTCCAAACATAAAAGAGTATTGGTACCAAGAATCACGAAAATTGTATCCCTGACTAGCTGCAAAGTAACATCTAGAAATGTGAGGTTGAGCTATACCATCATCAAGAACAACTGAACCGTATTCAGGATCAGTATAACTAACTCGACGCATATAACACGTTTTATCATATTGCCCATTTTTGAATCTCCCACTTTCCATTTCAGGACTCGTACTTTGACCTTCTGGTTTATAAGATTCCCCTCCAAATCTCAATTGGCTCGCGCTTTTACTCATCTTTGAAAATAAGAAACTGGGCCATGTACCAAGTGTTTGGTCATTGTATTTTAATTGCCAACCATCAAAGGAACCCTAAAGAATTTGTATATACAAAAAAAAAAAAATTATTATAAAAATATAAATTTAGGCTAATATTTATTAGGATTTACATTTACACTATGGTAGTATATCACATTCGGTAATTTGTGTATATAATAAAAATAATTTGACTAAAAATTTATTAGTTAATTTATTATCCATTAACTATATTTTTGCATGTTTTAACTACTTATAATTTTTCGTAACTAAAAATAATATGATAATTAAGATGACGTAACAATTCAAAACTTTAGCATTTGCAACAAATCCAATAAATGCAAATCGTACCTTTACAATTTCGAGGGTCACGTCGAATTGTTCTCCTTCAAATTCAGACATGTTGGGAAAAGGATAATCAAGTGGTACAACATTAGAAGTTACCAAAAATCCCGGACAATGACTAAGATAGCATCCAGTTTTTCCATAGTTGTGTCCTTCTATAAATTTGAAACGTTATTGATTTACATTATATTAGTTAATTATTTAAAAATCAAAAGTCTTTTTGATAATTATAAAAACAAACAATTAAAGAAAAATACTAACTGTCCATCCGCTATATAATCGAGTGCGCGAATCACCATATAATGTAGGGTTTACCTAATAGAAACATATTATAATTATATTATAATTATAATTGGATAAAAATGTTAATTATTGCATATTGAATTCAAAAGCATCCATAAAAGAATAACTTACTATCCATCCCGCTCGTATTTGATTATCTTCATCCTCCACATACAAAGAAGATGAACTATATTGGTGATCTCCTTGTAGTTTTGGATTCCATATAGTCATTGTAGCTTTACCACCAGTAAATCTCCGAGAATTATCCCCAACTATAATTCCTGCAAACTGAATTATAATAAATTTATTGTCAAAATCAACATTAATACGACATATATACTTAATTAGTAAAACTTTCAAATTGTCTTACATCAAGATGACTTTTGGCAACATATGAATGATTGTCCAACTTTTGGGGGGTGTACTTAGCTCTGTGTAGATTTTGAATTTTTTGCAATTGTTGTTTGGACATTTGGCGAATAGGAACGCTCCCGATAGGGCATCCTTTCTTATTCACCCATAATTCTTTGGGATTGGAAATATAATTTTTTGCAGAATTATTATAATATTTAGCTGTTGAACTTTGTTCCTCATACACAAGTCTAGCCTTTTGCTTCTCTAATTCCTTAGAGATTATCATCTGCGTGCATAAAATATTTTAGTAATTCCATCTTGTCAAAAAATGAAAATAAAATCTTTATATAATGTAGAAGATTGAAACACCCTACCTGAGTTATTTTCGTTGCCATTATTGGATGGTCTATACCTGGTTGTTTATATATGTCTACGCAATCATAAATATCACCATAGATAGTCTATCATTCAAACAAATATACACATGTCAAGTTGTAAATATAATCGTATATATAAGAAAGCACGTGTATCATCTTCTTACAAATTTAATTATTATGTATTAAAGAAAGCGTATAAAAAAATAATATAAAATTAATATTTAAATTCAAAAATATATATCTTAAATATGTTTAAAATACCTTTAGACTCGCGATAATTGAACTCGTGTGGTATCTGTTTGATGTTTCCATGCTATCAGCCCTAATACCATTTTTTTCATAGCAATGACTGATAACAATGGTAAAAAGAACTAAAAGAATTATATTCACTTTCACAGCCATGAAGTTAAGTCTTGCCAATGATTTCCATAGCCTAGGGATTATATATATATTTATACGTTGGAATTGGTTAGCACCAAATGGGAAAAAAATCCCCAAAAAAGAGAAAATATATTTCATAAAAAATTTATACCATAATTGTATAATTGGATAAGGATGTAAATTAATTATATAAATGGATATTCATAAATCTTGATAGAAACGGATATGACTAGGCAATTTGTAGCGTTTAGACCAAACCGCTATTTTACTAAACCTGTTTTGTAACGTTTTGACCATAAAATTGGTAGTTTCGCTATTTATCAAATATGACCCTAGTAAGTCAGACTAACAAGCAGGTGCACAAGTGTAAGAATTTGTGTGTTGATTTTGAACTTCTGGTACTTGGGGATCTTTCTCAGCTATAGCATTTCCCATCAGCTCAGCACTACAAGTTTGGTAATGGGTAAAGTTAGGGGTGTTCAATTGGTTAACCGTTCGGTTAATCGAACCAAATTAATCGAATTTTTTTTTTCTTTAATCGTTAATCGAACCGAAGTTTGTTCTACCGAATTTATCGAATCGAAATTTTTTTTCAGTTAACCGATTAACCGAACTTTTTAAAGCTAAAATTTAAAACTCTAAAATAACACTTAAACTAATAAATCCAATTAAAATAAAATACATATCATAATAAATTCATAACAAAATATACAAAAGCATGAATTATAAACTCCAAACATCCATAACTTCAAATTAGTATTTATATTTATATTATTATTTTTATATATATATTAAAAACTTCGGTTAACCTACCTTTCGAACCGAATTAACCGTTAACCGAAGTTTTAAAATTCATTTAACCATTAACCGAACCGAAAAAGTTCGGTTCGAAAACGGTTAACCGAACTTTATCGATTCAGTCGGTTAACCGAAAATTATCCGAAGTTTGCATACCCCTAGGTAAAGCTCACATCTCACTTAGAGCATCAATACCAGAGATTTTTTTAGGGTTATTTCTAGTAAATTGGAGAGAGAAAAT